ATTTGAAAATTTATTCTTTAATTTTATTTGTAATATATATATATATATATATATATATATATCAGATGCCATCCATATACAAGAGAAAAACTGTTCGATAAAAATTAATGAATCAATAAATTTATAAGTACACACTTATCATTTAAAGTATTTCATGTAAATATCTTACATAAAAGTTACAAAACATTATTCATGTTTATTAAATTATTACGGTTCTGAACTCGGCATTAAAAGTAAATAGCAAATAATACATTTGTATATTTACTTCAAGAAGTACGAAATATAATTAAAAAGTAATATTTAATTTGTAAATTTATGATACTGCTATTATTTACCGATGCACTTTAATTGATATCTACTACGTTTAAAGTATCAAGTAATGTAAATATTACTAAACTGAATAATCTATTATCCCTAATACATTTAAATTTATTAAACATATTTTAAAAGCAAAATAGAAAAGAAAAAACAAAAACCTTTCTAAATTATTATTAAAACATATTCATATTCTCGGCCTTAATGTTTAATTTAAGCACACACGCACAGGCCCGCACGCACACACGCAAACACGCGCGCGCGCGCACACACACACGCACACACACGCACACATACACACACGCATATATATATATATATATATATATATATATATATAATCTTCAATACACTGCATTACTTATTAATATAAACAATTTATGTAATTGCATGAGCAATTTAAAACCAAGTGTTAAAATTTTTTAATATTATAGAAATAGTATTATTAAAAATATTTGTGAAATAAACATATAATCGTTATCGGACTTTCAAGTTATTTTATGTAAAAGCAACTTAGTTTGAATTAAATTTTTTGATGAATTATTTTTCTCTTCGGCAAATTTATTGTATTTTAAATAAATAATCTACTTTTCATTTGCATTCTATGAAAATGCTGTAAAATGCATATATGATATATCGTGCCAGACGAGTTTGCGTTAATCAAAGTAAAAATGAAGTTAACAGTACTAGAAGAAAATCGATGGAAATATGAGATTGTCTGGCTGGTAAATATTAATGTACGCTCCAATCTCAATTCAGAAAGCATACTTTCGACACTTTGCCATAGTATGATTTGATAATTACATTATGTTAAAGCATTAATTGTTATAACGTAGGATGTGAGTATTCACGAATAAAAATAATATTATTTATTATTAGTGTAGTTATATGATATTATTCACGCGGTACAACTTTTTATTGCATTATTGTAAGGAATTCAGAAATTTTTTGAATAAAAATAGTTAAACTGTTGTACATGGCCTTCCTTCAATCTCCATTTATTCATCTGAATATAATTCTTAAAAACATGTTTCCAAAGAAAATAATGCGTGGTTATAAATTCTAAAGGGCTATATATTAAAAACAATGAATAAATGCTTATTTTTTATTCGCTATTCTTTATTGAATTGCAAACATGTGCTGGCTGTTATATAATCTTAATAGAAAGATATCAATGCAACTATAACGTGATGCTCCCATCGAAAGAATGTGAAAAATAATTTTGGACTCTATGTGAATTCGGGTTATTCATTTTATAAATAAAACTGTCAGTTATCCCTTTGCTCATCTTGATTCTCTTAAAAATAAAGTATATTTAACGAATGGTCATAAATGAAATAAATATGAGAAAATATGGAAAATGTAAGTTTGTTAAATTTCCTAAATATTTCTGATAATGAGATCGTTTTAAACGTAAAAACGAGGATGACACGTTGAGATGAAAAATACAGAAAGCTAAACAATCAGAATAAAAGCGATAATAACTAGATATTCTGAATTGAAAAATAATACGTGAATAGAGGGTATAAAATTAAATGTGCATAGGTAACAGTTTGTATCGAGAACTTTCCTCTACATTTAATATGATAAGAATAAAAAGTAAAAAGTTTCAAATGTATCGTAATACTAAACATTTTCCTTTATATAAAAAATGAAATAATGATTTTTCGCAATTTGGTAAGTTTAAAAATTATATGATTTACAGGCAGTTTTGATCAAACAAAGTTCATAAATATAAAAGTACTATAAAATTTATTATTGTCAGGAAAAAAAGAAACTAAGATTTCTCCCATAGGCTATAGTATCGATAATATTAATAATAGATTAATAAATAAATTAATTATTTATTATTATTATTATTTCAAATTATTAAATTAAATTATTTTAAATTTCGAGAAAAAAAATTAGAGCATACTTTATTCGTTTAAAATATAGTAAATGATTTTATTCGTCAAAAGAAAATATTCAATTGTAATATAATGACCATTCCAAAAACAAACTATATATGTTATGTTTATTTATTATAATATAAATGTATTGAAATATGATTATTTCCAAAAAAATTTTAAACAATCTGAAATATTATTCGAATATACATCGATCGATTTCACTTCTTATCTGCTATGAATAATATTTAATTAAATTGCCAGTAAAAATTATATTTAATTTTTCCATCTGTCTTGCTTCATTGGTAATTTGCAAGTAAAACTTCATATCGATTAAACATCTTGCGAAGATTAGTCTTTCATCGTTATTTATAGAGCTCATCTTGTTTCGGTCTCCTTATTATTGCATTAGCGATCTTAAATTTACAATTATTCTCACGAATAATGATTTATCGTTGTTACAACTCTAGTTGAGTGTCTCTGTACTTTGTAGATTACTAGGCAGCATTAAAATTCATAGAAGCAGCGTAAACAAAAGAAGTCAAAAAGAAAAATAAAACCCTGTTGTCTAATGAAAACCATTATCGGAAAATACAGCAGCTTGAATAACTCACTGAGGTATGTTACTATCTTACGCATATACACACGCATGCGCACACAGACACAAATGTATGCACATGTGTAAAAACTATGCTGTGAAACGAAAGTTACGTTCAGTAAATGCTATTTGCATCGTTGTCATGCCATTTTCTATTACTATGTGTGTGTGTGTGTGTGTGTGTGTGTGTGTGTGTTCGTGTGTGTGCGTGTGTTCGTGTGTGTGTGTGTGTGTTTATGCGTGTATAATACCACACCACAGTTCAACAAACTTTGTCGAGAATAATCATGTATCTCACTCGAATTTCCAAGTACAGAAATTTCAACTTTTTATTTTCCTTTTCCTGATCTATTTATGTAATATGTTCAAATGTTTGTATTTTTCTTAATGTAAAAATGATAATTGCAATCGTCAAGTTTTAGACAACCAAATTTTACGAGGAAACAAGTTTTATCATGTTATAATAAATCAGTTTTATTATTTGAAATATCATTATTAATTTCAAAGTTATAAATCATTATTTAAGATTACATATAAAAGTATGCAAATTGACTTTTAAATATTCACTAACCATATATTGAAGCAAATGTTTCATTTCTGAAAGTCAATTAAAGTTCATAAAAGCTTCTAGATATTTAATTATAAGATGCTTAAACTAATTTAATTAGTCTTACAATATCTTAAAAATTATATGAAAGATAAATATGACGTCAATTTTTATGTCCTTAATTTATTTTTTATGTCCTTACATTTTCAAATAATTATATATATATATATATATATATATATATATATATATATATATATATTTATGTTATGTTAGATTGAAAAATATGTATGAAGTATCGTATTGTATGAATATGTTTTTCAAATTCTTTATCTAATTCATCATCTTTCATTACATCTATCATCAAATAACTTTTAATTATACAATGAAACAGGACCTTTGCCATTTATATTGTAGGTATTCTAATATGTAGGTATTCGAATATATTTATAATTGATGTAATAATAAATGCAAAATAAGTTAAGAACAATGCTACATTAAAATAAGTCTCACTGGATTTATTAAAATTTGTCTACTAAAAATAACAATTATTAAAGTGCATGAAATTCCAATGCAATAAAAATTAATGGTTAAGTAAACAAATTTTCTTTTTCAATACATTATAATATAAAAAATAATTTTCTACTCATATCCTATTCTGTTTTGATAGAATTATGTAATTAAGTAAGATGGTTTAATGTTAATTTTATTAATATTTACAATTCAGAAAATCATAATTCATCAAATATTAAATTATTACCTTACATGGAAAATATTGTTTACTTAAAAATTTTTAACATGCTTGTATCGTATAATGTTTGTATAAATATATTTCATTTTATTAGATAAAAAAATAAAATAAAGTAAAATAATTATGATTCAATGTACTAATGAATCTCCAGATAAAATTATCGAGCTTTACAAATACTCTAGCATATTTCCAAAGGAATGAATTATTGTCATGAGTTGAATTTATAATTGCATTTAACGAGTTTTGCATATGTAATGTACATAATCTGATTAAGTAAAATGAAACAGGTGGTAATAATATAAGAGGAGAATAAACGGATATTATATACAATATTTGATAATGTCCTTGTGCAAAGCAGCAGCAGCTTTTTTGAACTTCCTAATTAATAGAGAAAACTTTATTATAATTTGTAATGTAGGCATTATGAAAAGCGGTCAAAAAACAAGATAGACATCCTCGACGTTACAATCCTGTTTACATATTCGCTAAGAAGATTAGCATCAGCGGTGAAATATTTTAAAGCCTTCTTCCTTTTCTTACATCAACGAGCACCATAAATTATTCATGAAGCGAGGGCGCAGTTAAATAAAAGGCATAACCAGTGGCAATAGATACCGACATCACGTGGGATGCTGCGCATTCTGTTATCCGTAATGAATCCGTAAGGCGGTCGTTCTCGCTATTTTCGGGACGTTGATAATCCCGGGCGTTTCGTGAATACAGGGAAAATAGGAGTCTAGGACGTACGGAGTCTTGGTCTTGGTTATCGACATAACCAGAGGCTCACCATCGCGTCCAACCAAACATCCGGAAGCCCGAGATACTGATGACGTCAATCTACGGATCGAGATCTCGGTGAAGATGAGCGGGAAATTCGGATGAACGAAGGGTCCATACGGCACGATGTTGTCCTTTCTATTTATGACTCGTTTGGGTAACGCACCTCACGTGACCAGTCGTGCTAACAGTTATGACGTTTGACCGATTTAAGAGGTAACCCGCTTCCTTCACTCAACAATTCTCACCTTAGATCCTCTAAACTTGTCGTACGATAATGCTCATGTAGTACCTTCAGTCGTATTTTGGAAAGAAATCGGAGCTGAACGATAGTATTATTGACATGCGGTTATTATTTTTGTTAATAGGCACTATTGTGGTTATTGTGTCTGATAGGTTGGTGGCTGAGGAGCTTTGCTTTGTTAATAAAATGATGATAAATTCATCCAGGATTCCATCTACAATTCTTAAGAGGAAAAAGAGATCAATGACTTTTCCAAAGGGAAGCGCCTTTGTTGTGAGTACAATTATTCGTTATTGTCCATTATTTATTTATTTTTTTTTTCTTTTCTTTTTCTAACCTATATTTATCAAATATGTACGCATTGTGTCATAGTGCTCGTATTTTGTTTATTATTTAGCTAACAACAACGCTTCTCAAGTCCATTCAAATCCGACAACCAACCAACTGGAATCTTGATTTAGAATTTGACATGATCTGGCCAATTCCAGAGGGAGTCGATGTGCGGAAGCCATTAACCATGCGAAGGTCAATTTGGCCCCACAGACGCCAAAGACGCGAACTTTATGCTAATTTTGAATCGGCATTGGATAGGTTAATTTCTTATCTATCTCACTCATTATTATCTCATGACAATTTTGAGAAATAATTGTAAATAATCATAAAAGTCATTGTATTATCTTTATTTTTCCAAAATCTTTTAATATTTTTTCAGCCAAGGTCTGCCTGGAAGTCAGTGTATTTTACGTACTATTTGTGAATCTAAATTTATCTTAAATCCTCCGGGAATTTCTCTTATTGAAGATATTTTAAGAGTTATATTTAGGTATGTAACTAAAAGAAATAATTTTACTTTACTTTATAGCTTTTGTAATGCCAGCAATTCCATAGAAATTTAGACCACCGGCTAGCTTCAAATGCTTTTAATAACTTAAATAATAAAAAATCTTCTATTTTATGAAATGATATGTAATATGAAAGTGATAATAATACACGGTAATCGCATAATGTTTTAAAAAAAATTAATTTTTCTAGCTACCCTAGGAGTACTACAACCATTCACGATGATTATGATAAAGCACATTTGACAAAACTTGATTGCGATATTATGTACCCATGTCCATGCTCTCTTCTAGATCTATTGCTCAACTATCACAATGATGTAGAAAAATACAAATAAATATACAATTTATCAATTACATACAATCATTAGTTATTTTTCAAAAATAACTGTATACATATGTAGGATGCGATGAATTTTTTAAGTATCTGTGACGTAGAAAAGTGAGTGTAATACAACTGATAGATTGGAGAAGGTAAGATATCTCATTAAATGAGGATTAGCGAATGATCTTGATTGTCTTATACAATCCGGTAGAGAAGTGAGTTCTCTAGAAGGATCAGACACGAAAGTGCAATGTGACAGATAGTCAGGAACTTTACGATGCAGGATCCTTATCAGGATCCAAGTAGCACCAATATGTTACGGTAGTTGGAGTAGTAGTGTCAATAGTAGTAGTAGTAGTAGTAGTAGTAGTAGTAGTAGTAGTAACAACTAAAGTAGTAACTATAATCAATATATAACGTCTTTAAAACTTGTTTTTTTTTTGTTTCTTTGTTTCTTTGTTTGTTATTCAATACAAAAAAAAAGTTTTAAAAAATAAAAAAAAAATTTTCAATACATGCATCGACAGAATTTATATGTGTTAAGGTAAATTTGTGAAAATATTATCATTACATAAAAAATATTTTTATTAATTGTTATGGATAATCAAATAAATTAGGAATTTATGGACGATATTCAAACTAGTTAAAATACCTGTATTTAGAGCATTGATATTTGTTTTAATTTAAATGTTGAACAAACATCGTTTCGATTTCGTTTCATCAGACATAATCAAAATAAATATGAATAATATGAAATGATAGAAAAAGGATAACCAAAGCACACGAATATAAATATTATTTTGTAATTTCAATATTCAATATAAAAAATAATACTCGATCCAATTTAAACAGTATAATTTTACAATATAAACAATATAATTTTTAATCACTTATCCACTAATAATTATTATATCCATAACAATCATTTCAGATACTGATATTGCATTAAATTGAAAATTCAGACTTTATAATCATAATCTAAAAATTATATTCATTTATGATTTGTTCCACCGATACAACGGATATTAATCGCTCGACTATTTAATGTTTAAAAATAATCTTCCTCTTTTTTTCGAGCAATTGCTCCTGTCGACATGTATAATTCGATTTATGTCATGTTTACCATATGTGGCTAATTTGAAACGTTTCTATCAGGTGCACGTGCGCCTAAATAGACTCTTTGTGCTTGAATTTGCTTTGGCTCGACGTCGCCTATAATCACTCGAGAGCTGAATAATATTTACTATTATTTTTTCTCTCAGAATCGAGTGTTAGTAGAGCTATTATTGATTAATAAACCATGGATTCTGAACTGATAATGACTTATGCAATTGCAATAATTCTCTTATTTTACTCGTATTATAATTATTATAAATATTGCGATACGAGTCATAATGAAATATAATTGCAATTATAAATACTTTAGAAAAATTATGTAACCACAGAGGACGATATCCGTTTAAATGGATCTAAACGTTCTTAAATTAATCTTAAATTCGTAAAATCTATATTTTTACAAAATATTATTATAATTTTAGACACAATTAAACGCAAGTAATATGCAATTAATATAGCGTGTATGAATTATAATACAGGGTATTTAAAAGTTTTGCATTAGGAATTTTGAAAAATTGTAGTTTTACTTGTCAATCAATTAATCATTCGAAAATGCTTAATGGTTAAAAATTATGGTATTTAAAATGCAATAAAGTAAGAATATTTTCGTTGAAAGGAAATCAATGCCAGTACATTAAAGGATTTTATAACGGCAGCATAATAGTCGATATTCGTGTTGATAATAAACTATTTAAATAGATATAAAAGGCAAAATTAAATTTACGGGTTGAATGTTATTTAACATGTAAGTGACAAGTTCCGCAAATACAAGTCGTTAAAGACGTTATGCATTAGCACTTGTGGTTGAATGAACTTTCGTTCCTCGACCCTTTTATCTGTTAATCACCTTGTAAACTCTCGGGATATGCCAGAGTTAAACGAAAAGACGCAAAGAACCGCTTCAAGAGCTTTATAGCGCAGTATTCTTGGGAGAGAGATGTGTGTTGTCAATCGCATTCTTAGCTCCAAACACATGCAGGAGAGAAAGAAGTAGTGTGAATACGATTACTGTAAGTATTGCATTTTTATCGAAACTTATTTGGGGTAGGGATAATTGCATAACTTAAGTCATAACTACTTTTTATATAAAAAATGTCAAATATTTCATTTGCGAGAATTAAAAATGTATATGTAAGCATGACTTATGGTCTATATCGTAAACATTGTTAATGCGTTCGAAGGAAAACTTTTTTTTTCCTATAGTTTTCTGAAATTGAACATAAAGAAACTTTAAATTTTTTTAAGCATATAGGTTAAGTACATTATTTAATAATAAAATAATAACAATCTCAATTTAGTTTTTCTCTTTACTGAGCTTCAAGATATTTTCGTACAATATAAAAAGTAATTTGCGATATGCAATGTTTATATAGGCTTTCAAATAAAATTGATATTTCATGTCCTGCTCCACTATAAATAGATATGAAGTATTTAGTCGACTTATTGCAAACTTTGAAACTAAAATATATTTTTGCCATTAACGTGTGGAGCCTTAAAATATTTATGATTCATTAATAAAATTGACATGTAATTACTTATTCAGATATTCTTACGTTATTTTAATTTGCAATTAGCATCAAATTTCATTGCTTTGATTTTTTCATCTTACATATTTTATAAAAAAAAAAAAAAAAAAATTAGATAAACAGAAACAATACAATTGTAATATTTATAATATAAATAGAAGGATATTGATGCTATATAATACGTACTATTGTATAAATCACAACAACTATATATTAATATTTTTTACCTAAAGCATTGATAATTATGAAAATTGATAACGGGACATCATAAATAATATTGACATTAATAAATGCAAATTGCATATATTATTCGCAAAATATCTAAATTGAAGTATTCAAAAAATAGTTAGTAATTATTATGTAAGGATTTATTTTTTTAAATCTTATATTCTATTAAAAGTTAAATTAAAAATATAAATATTATATTTGTTCAAACATTTAACAACGTGAATTCAATATATTTGATATATATATTTTTATTACTTCAACAGAGATATACAATTTATTCATTATAGTTGTATGCGTCTATTGAGAAAATCAAATTAGCTTTCTCCTTATATACTTAATTGACTTTTATAAATTCTTAATAATTGTTAATTTTAACTTTATAATTAAGTTAATAAATTTTGACATTACCTTATACGAGAATTATTAAAATTAAATTCAGAACCTGAGTATGCAGAAAATGAAGAGAATTAATTTAATATATAACTAAATAATTAATATTTGAAAACGACGAGAGGTAGATAGATAGATAGATTGGAAGCGAAAGAGAGAGAGAGAGAGAGAGAGAGAGTGACGTATCAAGATTATTATTTATCATTAATACCATGAATTCAATTAAGGAAAATAATTTATTAGAATTTCGTAATAAGCCAAGGTAATCATTTTTTAGATTAATACATAGGAAAATAGAAATTATGATCTTTCCAATTTAAAGTATAATATATTAATGGTATGTTTTATTGAATTATTTAATAATTGATATATTTATTTGAATACTTTATTTTAAAAATATTAATTATTACTATTTAAATTGTTCCAAACTTACTTAACAAACACTGGAATCGAAAAGGTAGTTAAACATTGATTCAACTTCTAATTATTAATATTTTTATATAATTAATTTTTATATCGAATATGAAAGTTATAAAGTTATACATTACATGAATCAGACAAGCTGTTTAAAAAGAAGAATTATAGTTCCTTTTATTTTGGGTTTTCTATTAATCACAAATCTCCATTTGTTCGTGTCTTTCTATCTCTTTGCTTTTACAGTCACAATGTTCAATCATCATTATATATAAATATATATTACTATAACAATTTTTAAGTACAAAATTATGCATAAAATATTATTTTGTTATTCCGTTTATTATAGTGTATTGAAAATATTGTTGTAAATGAAATTTATTATTACAGATAAAATTTAAGAACAACAGATATCTAATGTTTAAAATTAATAGAAATTTTTTGTGCCCAGCAAATTCATCGCATTAAAATTTAATAACTTTATAAGATTATGTTAATAAATATACAATGTTTTATAATATAAATCCGAAACCAATTAATTTTCATTAGCATACTTCATTTTACTCTTAAGAATTTTTTTGTGCATTTACATGCATACTTTCTACACGTATAATTTATATGAATGTAATGTAACGATTTAAAATGAATAAAAAAATTTCCGTTCAATGCTATCCATGAGTAATAATATTCCTATTTAAAATATAATTATTTTTAATATGATACAAAATTTTATTTGAAAAGAGACCATTAAATTTCATTCAACCCCATATAATAATAATATTATATTCGATAGAAGATCTGAGAAAGTGCTGAATATATATTTACATTTAATTGCACTCAATTTTGATGTAATACGAACGTACTTTGCGAATGATCCATTCATTTTGCAAACAGTCGAATAATATAGTTTGAACGATAAATAAAATAATAAAATAATCAGTTTCGAGAAATAATTTTAATTTATTAACAATTAGAAAATCTGAACTTTGTCATGTATAAGATAAATTAAAACGTATTAAAACGTCACTAAGAATAATTGTTTCTATTTTGTATTAATAATTTAATTTTCAATTTGAAATATATTTTCAAATAAAAGAAAAATTTTATAATAAAATTAAGCGTTTGCAAAAATAAAAGATTTAACATATTGTCCAACGTCACGTTATCTATGAATGCCGTAAAAAATTAATCAATTATCCTTTAATTATAGTATTGAATAATTAATTTTCCATAATACACAAAACAAATATAAAGTTATAATTGGAAGATTTATATAAACCCTGCACGTTATAACCAATCAAACAGAATCAATAAATCATAGAGCGTTCGGACAAATTGAGCCACCATTCTCGATTGACCTTCGCGATTGATAAACGAAAGAAGCGAGAAGATGATAAGAGCGAGTATAAACGCGACCGCTGAATCCAAAGCAAGAGAAAGTATGATTTTATTTCTTCAAGTGATCATCGCCTTTATCAAATTTATCAAAATTTCAGCAGATGAAACGTAAGAAGTTAATAGATTATAGAAATTTAATCATATTATCCGTGCTGACTTTTTCACACGCAATATCGCTTATTGCTAAAAGGCAGTGATTGCCAATGGATTTTTATTGGTATAATAAATACGAAAAATGTGCAAAAAATGTAACGATGTACTTAGACAAAAAATTTATGAAATCTTAAACGTATAAAGCAGTGTTAGTAAAGTAATAACATTGAACTTTGAGTTAGATTATTTGCAATTGAGCGACCGTACATTATCAAGGGTTCGCTTGCTCAACTGTTGATATTAAGAGAATAAGTGACTAAGCTCTAACAAGTTTGTGTATGAATAGAAATTATTTGTTGGTTAGTGCAACACCGAGCTTAGACGAGGCTTATATGGCTGTCACCTATCGATCATTTTGTCTCCCGTTTCTCCGAGAACTAACAATTTCCTGTTTCCTAAAGAGCTTAGTGAAGTGAGTTACGAGATATTTCCTCAGCCAAGAAAGAATCGATCTTCCATTTTGTGAGGGAAGTTCTATCTACTGCGGCGGAGCTGCAATACTTTTCTCTTTCATTTTCTACACCAGTTACCCTACCATTAAAATGCCCTATAAATTTCTATCTTGTTCCTATTGACGATGACAATGGCTAAACAAGGTACAATGATCGACACGCCGCTTATTTTCGTTTTTTTTAAAACCATTTTGAGATCATAAAAATCGATAAAATCGCTGAGTGATTAGATTCATATTATCTGATTTTTTTCAATCGACTAATAGGATAAAATTAATAATATAAACTTTCAAATATATAAAGAGTGTACAAAATTTATTCAATGCAATTTATATGATTAAATTTATCACATTTTTGGCAGCCAATTACATTTTTTTGTTTTTTAAAATACAACAAAAAAAAAATAAGAAAGAAGCACTTGTATATATATATATATATATATATAAGTAATTTTGGATGTTATGCGTGGAAATGTGTATATGTCGCCTGCGTGTATTTGTTCCTAATATTACTATGGTAATACAAGTTTCGGCACAATATTTTAAAGTTAAAAAGTTTTTTTAAAAGTTTCGTACTCTACAGTTGATAAAAAATAACAGCAGTGACTGAAATACGCTTGATCTTCCAAATTCAGGGCAACACAAAGTGTATAGTCGGTAGAGTAAAGGCGGGTGTAACTTTGATTCGGTTGGACTGTAAGTGGCATGACTTCGTAGTGGAAATGGAGCGATAGAAGAATAGTCGGGGGCGGGGGGGGGGGGGGGGGGG